GTGGGAGGGAGGGGAGGTGGGAGGGAGGGGTGGTGAGAGCGAGGGGAGGTGGGGGGCGTCAAAGTTACGTGTTGTGCGTCGGGCTAAATTGCAGTTGAGCGATAACATATGCAGCTGAGACTGGCAGAATTAGCTAGAATATGCATATCAAAGTATCCAACGGTTCAATCATTAGTTGTGTTTCACTTATAGCGGACACAATATAACTGTTCATTAATTTAAATAATTTTTGTACTAGCATATTTTATCTTTTGCGTAAATCAAAATAAAGAAAGGTACACTCAGGCGAATATATTTCCTAATTTAAACCATATCCCTAATCCTAAACGAGTAAACGGATCAGCCAACCTCGATCCCTTGTCCTCACACTTCGTCTCATATGAACGCAGTGTAACTTTTCATATTATTTTCATACCAAGGTGAGATCTCGCCTGTAAACTTGTCGAAATCTTTTCTCGCTAACCGGGTAACGTTTCCCCATATGAACAGGCCCTAAGGGTCTCCACAGACTAGGGTGATTTGTTGTCGATGACAATTAGTTATCGACAACTTTTATTTGTCGACCATTTATTAATTGTGCGAGAAAAACGCCTTTGTCGACAATAAGTTTCAGAATACGTCATTTGGATTGGCTTACACTTTGCGTGTTGGCGTGAGAAATGTTAAATGCGTGTGTCTCACGCAGAATGCGTGTCTCACGCAGAATGCGTGAGAGTGATGAGATACGATTGCAACATGACCATTATGTCATTCCATGTACATAGGGAAATCCCTGTGGGAAACAAAACAAGGAACTTAAGTGACAATTTGTTGCTACGTCTGGCGGTTTAAATATACAGTATAGATGGTATGGTTGACACTGATGTTGGTGGTTGACATTGCCAAGCTAATGAACCTTCTTTCAACTTGATAAGACCAAGCATCTATTGCTTGTTAGTTGTGGGTATGTTTTATTTTCTTGTATTACTATATGGTAAATCTGTCATGTTTTTGTACGGTAATTTAATAGCATTATGTTGTAGGCCGGAAGATGTTATAGTAGCTAACTAATCTAGCCCTGAATTTCAACATATTAATTTAATTAAAAAGAAGTTAAAGTTATAACTACAGTGGAAAAGTTATGAAAAAGCTTTCGTTGGTAGGAATGCAACTACCCGAAAAGTGTAAGGAGAATTTCGACGTTTCGAGCGAAGGCCCTTCGTCTGGAGTTACTAGTTATATCAGGTAGTTGCATCCCTACCAACGAAAGCTTGTTCATATTATTGGCACAATATACCTACACTGGCACAGACAGTGAAAAAGTTAGCCAATCAGAATCTCATATTTTAGAGTCGCGGATTGCGAGAGATCCCTCAACTACCTGAAAAATTTAAGCAGAACTAACTTCTCGACGAAGGGCCTTAATTATTTGCTCAAGACGTCATAGTTACGACGGGTCTTCGCTCGAAATGTCGACGCCGTTCTGCTTTAATACAAATTTCAGGTAGTTGCATCTGTTCTCAGTACGCACCTGCAATCATGTACATGTCTTGTTAACGTTGCTATACACACTGGCAAAGACCGTTAGAAGTTAAAAAGTAATTGAGCCTTCTATATAACCGGTTCCTGGTATCTTATGGTGATAAATTTCACAACATTGGCTGCTTTAACTGCATGGTACTTGAAACTCTTCTCCGTTTCGCGTATGGTATACTGTGGGGATACATTTCAGCAGCCGGCGAGAACGTACGCATAGAAGTGAGACGAATTCGTGGACAGCCATGCGTTTAGCTACGGTTCAGCTATAGACGGCGAACTTTTCATGCGTCGAACCTATAGCCTAATACAACGATTAAGTACCTGACAGAAAAGCGGCGTCTAAATCAGATAATCAGTTAATTTTGACAAGTTTTGGTTAGGTTCTACTGTATACGGCACAAAATTTATGACGTATTATGAAACACGGAGTCGACATGGATTTAGTCGACGCCGTGCTTTTCATCGGCGCCGAATAATAATTTTCTAACGTAGGCCTACAAATTATTATCGCATGATTATGATATATTAGCAGTTTATAGCACTGAAATTTCTAATATAGTTTAGTTTTGTATTTTGACAGGTACAATTAAGTCCGACGTCTAACTCAGTTGCCGGAATTTGTGTCATACTTAATTTGATTAGGTTCCGCGCATGAAAAGTTCGCCGCGGTCTAAAACCGGGCCTGTGCCAGGCAAAAATTCTGTGCGAACAAGGAGAACTGGACGAATTTCGTCCTGTTTGTGCGAACGCATGAAAATATAGGTAGTTTCGTTTTCGGTAAATACGTCATGCAATTACTCCCCGTGGGAAATACAGGATGTCAGTTTTGACTTTTAGTTGTCGAGGAATTCCCACAATTTTGCCACATGCTGGCACAAGATTATCTGCAGTATTATAGATATCTATTTAGTATAGAGGTCAATATATATATTTAATAAACAAATTATACTTAACTTAATACTAGGTCATATTAGACAGTTCAATCAATTTAAGTGTTCAGAATTATGTAGTATTTCCGTGTGCAATTATAGCCAGATATAGTTTAATTAAAATTCAAGTGGTATGAAAATTAGCCGAGTGTTAGTGTAATTTGCCACTCATCGACTCATGCACAGATCTATCCTATTTCACCTCTCCCGCCCTTTTACTTGACCGGAAGGGCGCCTGAACGTCGAAGGAAATGCTACGGTGTGCGTGAGGAGAGAAATTAGGGGATCCATACTCACCCACTATCGTTCTTTGAAATTTGAAATTGCACAGAGAATGACTAGAACTACATAATTCTCTCTTTAAATACGGGGTGTAGATCTATGTCTCTCTGTTTATGAAAGTGGACCCTAATCCTTATCCTAATCCTTAACCGCTTCTATGTGACAAAACTTTTGAATCTTTCCTTTAGATACTGAAATATCTAATAGGCCGACATGAAATTTGAAGTCATCACCGAAATGAAGCGGAATTTTACGCTGATCAAATTCATCCAACTTCTGTTTGTTCTGTGGTGCATTGGAGTAGTCACAAATGCGCAAAACGATGGTAATGTTAAAGCACTTATATGTATGTACATTGTAACAAAAGTATCTTTATGGCAGTTTTGTATGTAAATATATATATATACATGTACAGCATAATCAGCCGTGTTGGAAACGTTAGAGCTACATACACGAAATGAAGGCGAGTGGTTGTATATCTTATATACAAAAAGAACGCGAATGGAACGTTAATTCGTGTTTTCAATCATTTTAAAATACGATAAGGCTAAGAGTGGTGAGAAGTTTTGGTGAGAAAAATGAACATAAAGTTTCCTAAACCAGCAGAATTCTGTATCAGACATCTGTAAAGATCCTTTACGCGGTCATGATTCCTTTTGACTTTTCCTCATATATGTACTAAACCGAGACAAAAAATATCCAATGCAATCCAAAGTTTCAACCACACACGCTATGCCAGGGTGTGGCCAACTCTGTGTGCAACTTGCATGCAATCATGTTTACCAAAAAAAATTCTCTTTTATAGAACCCTTGAGAAAGAACGCTTCTACTACCGTTGTTCGCCTGAGACCCACTGCGGTTGTTGGTATTACGAATGCATCTGAAACTGCGGCATTATCCCAAATGAGTTTTGTTGTAAAAACTCAAACTAGTGTTCCACATCATCATTTATCTGTAAAAGGTATGATAAATATCTTCATCTTCTTGTGTTGTTACATTTTGTTGTTGTTGTTACAAAATTGTGTCGAAGAATACTTTGGGAATGGCCATGCATGCATGCATTCTTTGTAGATTTTCTTCTTTACCTGAATTCATTGTTTTATTTTCTTCACAGCAACAAGAACAATCATTAATTCAAGTATGACAGTCATCCCTACGAGAACATTGAAAGAACGAAACGAAACAGACACAGGTATTGTATGTTTATTGCCTGCATGAACGTTACACTCGTCAAAGGAAACATTTGTCGATTTAATTGTACGGTGAATCAGTTAACCAGCTCATGCCACTTGTTATTAGTCCTTGACGCGATAGTGTGTACGCTCTATAATTTCAATTCTTTCTAACGCGTACGACAGACGATTCCATCAGTATTGGTTTACATAGCTTACATACAGCGAGTTTACCTACTGTCTGTTTAATCCATACTGTGCCCATGGCCCTACATTTTCATTTTATTCTAATACAAGACGATATTATTAATTCGTCAGGGAGATATATTTTAGGCGCCGATGGTTAAAATAATAAATCCTGTTACCAATGGAATTCTCAGCCGTTTTCTCACCGTTAAATTCCTTTTTTGTTTTTATAGCGAAGAATGATAGCTCGAACTTGGGCTTGATCATTGTCTGTACCGTTGCTGTTGTGGTTGTGGTGATTGTTGTTAGCATCATGGGACTACGCTCACTGATATACAGGCGGAGAAAGCAAAGCAACAAGAGGTCTTCCAATAAAGCTTGCAGAGTAAGTCAGACAGTCTTATCTTTTTGTCTAAACATCACCATGCAGGCTTTCTCCCGCAATCCTTATGTAAAAGGTACGTTAAAAGTACGACTAGAAATTTAGGAAAAATAGGAACATAGTAAAATATACAAAAACGTAGGACAAAAGTAGGAATTTTTAGAGATGCAAATAACACAAAATTCAAAAATACAATGTAGAAACAGTGTTTACAAACTCCAGTAGTAGGATATATGTGGAAGAAGAATAGGTAAAAGTAGGATGGCATCACTAATAGAGAAATAATTCAATCAGTGACTGTCAAATCTCATGCACTCTTATCGTTTTTAGATCCGGGCTTAATGTTAAATCTGAACTGTATATATTTTTATAGGGAGAAATGAGTTTGTCTCAATTACATGTTTGTCCTCCCGATACTGCTGTTGCTGATGTAGAAATACCTACTTCTACAAATATTCTTGTTGGACCTGCTGCTGGTCCAACAATTACTGGCGATGGAGTTCGCACAATTTATGACGAAGAGGTAAGATGGTGTTTATCATGGTTTATAAATATGACTGGATAAAACACCATCAAACAGTGATGTCAAAAGTTAAAATTTTAATACATCTTGAGAGGGGGGAGGGGCGGCTTAGTTATTTCTGGCACGTTTGAGACGGCCGCGGGGTGGAAATAAAGAGTTGAAGGTAACGAAGGATTTTGCTGATGGAAATTTCGAGTGTAAATTTTATACATTTATTTGGACCTAACCAGGAGCAGCTGAGACAAATGCAACTCTGGCAGAAATTCATTCATTCATTTAGTCAAATTATTCATTCAATTATTCAATTATTCATTCATTTAGTCAAAAGACAGTGATTAGTATTAGCCATTTCCCAAAGTCCTTGGTCTAGTCGCGCAAATCCCATGCATGTTGGACAAGAAGTATGGCAGCACACATTTAACTAATTAAAAATTTAATGTAAAAAGGATATATATTTTATTTTTGGTCGTCTAGAAAGTTGGTATTTGTTAAGTAGATTCTTCTACTCTCACATATTTGACGCCTGTCACCATATATTTTCTCCCTCCAAACGATCCCAGAATGCACTGTGATCTCGTTTCGGACTAAAGGCTAATTGGAGAAATGGGCTTAATATTATACATGGTAAAAACAAGACAAGTACCTAAAATGGTAGACACGCAAAACTTGTTCACTTTGTGATTCAAGCGCTATTTTTGTAGAAAATCTACATTTTGATATGAAGGTATCCTGAACTTAAAATGGTTGTCCATCGCTGCAATTCCACATCAAAGTGACATCATCATGATGTTTAAAATGATGAAAGATTTGACACCGAAATGTTTAAACATTTGCGGCGATAATCCGCTTTATATAATTTGCCATAGAACTTGCGTAGCAACGTAACAAGATAATTCTTTCTTTCGACAAATCCGAAACCAACTTCCGCAAGAGAAGTTTTTCTTACAGAGGAACTGCACTTTAAAAAAAACTCTTGTTAAAATGTTCCTGGTTAAGCCATTACCTTATTTAAGTTAACTTAATATTCCTGTTTAAATTCCCTGGTTATTTTATCTCACTAGGAATCTGGTTATATTTGACCAGAACGTCCTGGTTAATCAAACTATGTTAGGTCTAAAAGTGTAAAACTGAAATTTACGCTTGGAAATTCCATCTACAAAAAAACAACATCTACATGCATATTTTATAATACTGTACAAACCGCATGATTCTGTTATCTCTTGGCTCTCGAGCACTGAACTGAAAATAGCGTTTACGTTCTTTAATTCAGGCAAACATATCCAGTTCTTCGTATGCCTCTGGAGCCTGCATAAATCTTGGTGCTGACAAAAGTAGCGATGGAATTGGTGAAAGTCGTATAGATATGAGTTTAGATGACAATTATGACAAGAATCGCAGGGTATGAGCAAGCTGAATTAAAATAGAAAAGTCAATCGAAATTTTTATATGCTATATAAGTCAGTCTTCTTTTTATTCCCGCGGGATGTACGGCAAATACACTCTAATACATCACTGTAAGTCTAAAAAACTATATAGAGGGCATTTAAAATGTGGTTTCGTACGTAACATTGTTGACATTGCAATATGGTATGTTTGCTGCATTTATCTAAAATAGGAAAATATAGATAAATGTATCACTATTACCGCTAATGACTTCCGCAAATTCCTTACTCTTCAAGAAATTACTTCCTTGAAAAATCCTTCGTTCTAAACAAAGACGAAGGACTTTGCGAAAGTCTAATGTACCACTGGCAACGACGAAAGTGTTGCAATAAAGAGTTTACTTCCCCATTTCAGGCAACGATGTCTTCGGGTATTTCTGGAGTTTCCACAAATTTTAGCACTGGCCGAAGTAGTAGCTTTGGTGAAAGTTGTGAAGATTTGAGCTCAATGAACAATTATGACAAGAATCGCAGGGTATGATTTAATATTTAACACGATCTATCAATACAGTCTGAGCAAGCTGGCTTAAAGAGAGTTTGAAATTTTCACAAGCCACAAATTCTCTTTTTAATCCTACCCTAGAGCTTAGTTATTTCTGAAACGTTTTAGAGAGGGGCGGGTAGTGGGTGATATTCATTGTCTTAGCCATAAGCAAGCTCTACCATAACTGCATGGTATCAAACTGGATGAGGATTTTACTCAACAACATGATAAACAACAAAAATATAGTTACATGAACTTAACACTCAGCTAAAATTAACATGAATTTCCAGAACATTAATAAATCTAATCAGTGGGGCTTAAAGTTCTTTCCTCTAAAATGGGGGAGGGGTTTATTGGAAACGGAGGATCTGTTGATTATGTTTCCATTATCTATAATCAATGTTCATTGTCAATTTTTAAGAAAGCGTTTACGTTCTTAATTTCAGGCAACAATGTCTTCACATATTTCTCGAGCTAGCACTCGCCGAAGTAGTGGATTTTCGGAAAGTTATGAAGATTTGAGTTTGGATAACACGAATCGTACGGTATGACTGATTTACACGATTTTATCATGGAATATATTCACGATAACATACGACTGGACAATAAATTGCATATAGTGTGAGCAAGCTGAACTAAAATCGAAAGCCACTTAAAATTTTCACATGCCATAAAGCGATCCTCTTTCTAATCCACGGGATGTACGGCAGATATACCCTACAGTACATCAATGGAAGCCTGAAAAACTATAGATAGACGGTCATTCAAACGGTTTCCTTGATTTTCCAAATATGTTTTGGGTTAGCGTAACATTGCTGACATTATTTAACTAAAATCAGGAAAATGTAGGTAACAGTTTATAATGTATAGATTGTATATGACTGACACTACAACGAATTAGCGTTTTAAGAAGCGTTAATTATACCTTCTCCATTTCAGGCAACGATGTCTTCATGCATTTCTCGAGCTTCCACAAATTTTAGCACTGGCCGAAGTAGTGGCTTTGGTGAAAGTTGTGAAGATTTGAGCTCAGATAACAATTATGACAAGAATCGCAGGGTATGATTTAACACGATTTGATCATGGATGATAATATGACTGGATACAAAGTGGATATTGTGTGAGGAAGCTGGCTAATTCCCACAAGCCGCAAATCCTCTTTTTAATCCTACCCAGGAGCTTAGTTATTTAAGAACTGTTTGAAAGGGGGTCGGGTAATTGGTGATAGCCTATTCATTAATTTAGCCATAAACGAGCTCTACCGTAACTGCATGATATCAAACTTGATGAGGACTTTACTCAAACACATGACAAACAACAAGTATGATTTATCATTATTTCAAATGGCAAAACAAAGTAGTAACATGAACTGAACACTCAGCCAAAACCTAACATGAATTTCCAGAACATTAATAAATCTAATCATGCAGTGGGGCTTAAAAATCATCCCTCTATAATGGGGAGGGGTTTATTGGAAATAGGGGATCTGTTGGTCATATTTTCCAATATCTAATCAATGTTCACTGTCAATTTTCAAGAGAGCCTTTACGTTCTTCATTTTAGGCAACAATGTCTTCATATATTTCTCGAACTTCCACAAATCTTAGCACTCGCCGAAGTAGTGGCTTTTGGGAAAGTTGTGAAGATTTAAGTTTGGATAACAAGAATCGTACGGTATGATTTAACACGATTTTATCCGATTGAATATTATATTCACGATAACATACGACTGGATAAGAAATTGCATATAGTGTGAACAAGCCGAACAAAAATCGAAAGTCACTTGAAATTTTCACATGCCATAAATCCTCTTTCTCATCCACGGGATGTACGGCGAATATACCCTACATCAATGTTAGCCTGAAAAACTATATAGATGGTCATTCAAACAGTTTCCTTGATTTTCTAAATATGTTTTGCGCAAACATAACATTGCTGACATTATTTAACTAAAATCCGAAAAATGTAGGTAACAGTTTATAATGTATAGATTGCATGCATCACTGGTACCATACAACGAATTAGCGTTTTAAGAAGCGTTAACCTTCTCCATTTCAGGCAACGATGTCTTCATGTGTTTCTCGAGCTTCCACAAATTTTAGCACTGGCCGAAGTAGTGGCTTTGGTGAAAGTTGTGAAGATTTGAGCTCAGATAACCATTATGACAAGAATCGCAGGGTATGATTTAACACGATTTGATCATGGATATATAGTGTGAGCAAGCTAGCCTGATAGAGAGATTGAAATTTTTACATGCCACACACCCTCTTTTAATCCTACCCTGGACTCCTGGAGTTTAGTTATTTCAGAAATGTTTGAGAGGGAGGGTGGGTAATGGGTGATATTAATTAATTTAGCCACAACCAAGTTTTACCGTAACTGGTATCAAACTGGAGGAAGACTTTAATTTACGCAAATACATGACAAACAACAAGTAGGATTTATCATTATTTGAAATGGCGAAACAAGAATGGTTACATGACTTTAACACTCACTCAGCTGAAAACTACCATGAATTTTCAGGACATATGATAAATCTAATTAGCGGGGTTTAATTTATACATCTTCCCTCTAAAATAAGGGAGAAGTTTATTGGATATGGAAAATCTGTTAATCATATTTTCCCATGATATCTAATTAATTTTTACTGGCAATTTTCAAAAAAGCGTTTTACGTTTTTTTTTGTTTTTTTTTTATTTCAGGCAACGATGTCTTCAAATCCTCCCCGAGCATCCATAAATCTTAGTACTAGTGGAAGTAGTGGTTTGAGTGCAAGTTGTGAAGATTTGAGTTTAGATAACAGTGATGACATGAATTGCAAGGTATGACTTAACACTCTTTATCATGGATGACAATGACTGGATAAGAATTAAATACGAAATTGCGATTTTAAAAAGTCACTGACATTTGTAGATGCCGTACATCATATACAGCTATTTAAATTAAGGTTGTCCCCCGAGCAAAGCGGAAAAGTCGAATACGAGCGCAAAAGGCTACTGGGAATCGCTAATAAATTCATTCTAATGTTACTTAATAAACTTTATTTGCACTGATGGAGAACGAACACAATATTTATTTCAAACACTCATTAATAATTCATAAGCTTATTGGCCAATCATGTCTGCTGCATGATAAAATACTGCTGCTCATGTGCATGAAAGTTCAGGTGAATTAAAATCTAGTCTAATATATATACATGTATATTATTTGCAGACCTTACCTAGGCTTTCTAATAAAGAAGATATATCATTAAGGAGAGCTAAGTCGTATCGCAAAGCAAGAAGTTTGTCCGTACCCGCGTCAGTAGCTAAAAGAGAAGACTGGACTTCAATGTCGAGGTTGAAGGAACATCGCAGTAAAAGTAAGATATTGTGTCAGATGGAACATTTTGATCGTCTATTTTTATCGCCTGTTTACTCATATTTACATAATTACTACAATTAGACTTTTATATCATACAAATAATGAATGTTTATTCGTGCGATGGTAAGAATATTTTCATCAGGTGAAAGATGGAATTTTCCATTCCACGAGACGACAGCCGAGGACTAGATCAAAATTGTCATATGAGCAAAATAAAATATTTGTAGTATGGTTGGCTAAATTACTTATGAATTATTATATTGTGGTTTTCCCTTGGATATATGTAGTTAGTGGTCATGGCGCTGCACCAGAATCAGGTTGGGCCCTTATGGTTAAGTCATACTTTTTGATCCTTATACAATTTTTCATACTTATACAATTTTCATCGAGAAAATGTTTTAATTTATCGTGCTTGTATGGTTGTTAAATCTACTGTTTACCTCACTCCAGCGTCCGGATCTAGTAAAGAAAGGCATCCAAACCTAGTAAAGAAAAGCATCACCACAGGAGGAGGTGTTGTAAAGAAAGATGACATCATACTTAAGATAGGAGCTGGATGTCTGGCTATGGACACCGAAATCACATTGATCCAAGACGATCAGAATTCCGCCTTCAAGGCACTGCTCGACTTAGGTCTAGTCGATGCCGCCCCACGAGTTGTGGAATTCCTTCCGGACGGCCTGAAATTCTCGAAACCGGCAGATCTTACGACCAGATTTGAAAAAACTGCCTCGGATTCTGAACTTTCCATTCTACATGGTTCTTACAACTGCGACTACCAGGGTATAGTTTGGGAACTGGTAACTAATGCTATCGAGGACAATAGCGCCGAGGGGGTTGTAAATATGAAAATTTACGGGTTCTGTTTCTATAGCTACATTTTAGCAAAGCGCGGGAAGTTAGCCCGGATCTTGAGTCATCTTAATCACTCGTTTACCTGTTGTGCGTATGCCTTTTATCGTAGACTACCTTCAATGGATACTATAGATATTTCGGTTGTCATGTTGAGTGAGTTTGTTGATAAGAAAGAAAAAGAAGACATTAAACAATTGAAAGATCACTTTGAAGAAGGTTACGTTAAAGGAGATAAAGGAATGGGGAAGCGTGTTCACACAAAACGTCCTCTTGAAATATGTTTGGACTTCCCAGGCGTCGAAAGCATTGCCTATCCGTTCAAGGTGGACCAACCTGAACTGGACAAAGATGGTTTTGTTATCGATCATTTTAAAGCAATTGTAGTAAAGAGTCCAGCATGTGGTGCGGTGAAGATAAGCGAAGTTGACCGAAGTGTCGAAAATGAATTTGTGTGGAGGATGAATATTCTTGAGAAGGAACAGGGGAATAAAATGCAGAAAGGTCAAGGTAAATTAAAATTTGCTTCTTTTCATTCAAAAAGTGGGTTCTATACTCTTTTTTAGCAATGAACAGATACTCAGTATACTGTTATAAAATAATGCAATTGCAATGCACTTGGTTTTTCAAGTTTTATATGTTGTATTGTTTCATACCGACTTGCATTGTATTGCATTGTATTGTACTATGTTGTGTTGTGTGTTGTGTTTGTGTTGCGCTGTGTCGTGATATGTTGTGTTACAAATAACGTAACGATTTAGCCTTTCTCACGATGACGAATATCCGCCATTTTTCAGTGGCATCTAATTCTCGTTAATCAATGCAGACAATTAACACAATGAGAAAAGCAATTTTTCAAAGTAAACTAACCATTTACAAAACAAATTTACCATCATTCGTCCACAAATTATAAAACGTCGCTGTCATGTGGACTTATCTCGCAGACTTCAGCTGAAAATCCACCCAAAAATGTCGGTGTAAGAAAGGCTAATTGTATTGTATAGTTATGGTATTGAACTCTATTCTATTATATTTGAACCAGAACCCAAACCAGAACCAGAACCAGAACCCGAACAGGAACGAGAACCAGAAGGTATATTATTTTAGTGTTGTTATATAGCTAGGATGGTGAACACCAGACGTAATTGGTTGATTTGTGGTCACGTGGCTTTTGAAAAATGCAATATATCCCGCCGAGCAACAAGTGAAACATTGTTGTCCGCTCCGACCGCGGCTACGTATATATAAAATAAATAAAATGGCGACACAACTGGCAAGTTTATAATATAGACTTAAATTCCCATGTTTGTGTTAAAATAAAGAATGTAAAAGAGAAGAAAAATACACAACAGGCAACAGGATATGCTGCTGTGACCGTTTAAGTAGGTTCTTTTAATTTTAAACTCGTTTACACTATAGAGTTTTTGTCGTGAAATACAATCGTTAATTTGTTGCATGAATGTTGTTGATTTTTCTTTCCTCGCTATATAACAAAACACTTAATGTCTGTTTCCTTGGGAAATAGTTAGGTTTGTTTCCCCTCAAACTTTCAATGTTTCGTCTTGGGAAACATTGAGACTCTGATATATCAGGGAAAACAAAACTGTTTTTCTCAGGTCCAGACACCAAATGTATACTATTTTCTAAGATATGTATTGCACAACTTCTTGGAATGTTTTACGTGATGTAAATATTAAGTAAAACGAGTCATTTTGATGTATATTCAAGACTTGCAGCCGACTTACAAATAAGCTTTTTTTGTTATATATTTCTAGTTGTATACCGTAACACACAGCTCACAAATAAAGAAATAAGTCGGATGAGCCTCGTGATTGGAGTTGACTGGGACAGTTTAGCAGGTCTCATGGATATTCCGTATTCTAAGCGAGAGGAAATCAGAGTCAACCACGCGAAATACCCGGATTTTTCTTCGAAAGCCGAAGAAATTTTCGCGCTTTTCAATTGCTGCGAGTGTTTTGGTCGTCACAACCTGGAAAAATGTGTCGATGAAATAGGACGAGATGATTTGAAAGACGAAATGATCCCTTTGGAAAACGAGGTATTTAACCTAGCAAATTAAATACACTATACACTATACACTATACACTATACACTATACACCATACACCATACACCATACACTATACACTATACACTATACACTATACACTATACACCATACACCATACACCATACACCATACACCATACACCATACAATATACAATATACACTATACACTATACACCATACACCATACACCATACACCATACACCATACACCATACACCATACACCATACACCATACACCATACACTATACACTATACACTATACACTATACACTATACAATATACACTATACACTATACACCATACACCATACACCATACACCATACACCATACACCATACACCATACACCATACACCATACACCATACACCATACACCATACACCATACACCATACACCATACACCATACACTATACACTATACACTATACAATATACAATATACACTATACACTATACACTATACACTATACACTATACACTATACACTATACACTATACACTATACACTATACACTATACACTATACACTATACACTATACACTATACACCATACACTATACACTATACACTATACACTATACACTATACAATATACAGCAATCAGAAAGTTAAAATCATGTGTAGACCTTAATACATTAATTTGTGCCTATAATGCACTTGTTTTGCCTCACCTGGATTACTGTTGCGAAGTTTGGGACACCATTGGTACCACACTTTCTGATCGTCTCCAGAAATTACAAAATAGGGCTGCTAGACTTATCGTGGGTCGTAAAAATGAACATGATCAATCTGAACTTGCTCTAAATGAATTAAACTGGAAGCCTCTGAGCGAACGCAGAACCCAGTTTGTGGCAAGTCTTTTGTATAAAATTACTCATGATCTAGCGCCCTTACGACTTACTGATATTTTTCAAAAGACGTCTTCCTCCCAGCACTACAATTTGCGGGGCTCTTCCACTAAACTCCATTTGCCCAAGCCTAAGACTGAATATCTTAAAAAAAGTCTTAGGTTATAGAGGGGCTAAACTGTGGAATAGTCTCCCAAATGAATTAAGAGGAAAAGAATCACTAGCTATATTCAACAAAAACGTATGACACCTGGCTACTATTATTAGAGTTTTCAAATCCATATTTACCTTGACTATTTAATCTATTAATATTTACTATAACCTATTTAATTGTATGTAATTGTATTAACTGCATGTAACTGTATTTGTATGTTTAATTTTTCTAAATTTTTAATGTAAATTTGAATTTAATGCTACGCCCCCCTTGGAAATCAGCTTTTGCTGTAGGGGTTAGCGTAGTAAAATAAAGTTTTACCTACCTACCTACCTACCTACCTACCTACCTACCACTTTAGAGATCAGTAGGCCTAGCAAATACACTTTGTTGTGGACGGTTAATTTGTCGCCGCTATTTTTGGCAAAGCGAACATTAATTAATACGGACATGCGCAAACGAGGTTTTTGTCATGTTTTTATTTTGAATCGAACTAAACAATTACTAAACACGCTTTTATATCGATTTTCGTTTGATATGTTATAGTTAAAATAAAGCAAATTCGCTGTATCGTACAGTATACGCACTATCCACAATTATCATGCATGGAAATGATATGGAGGGGGGGATTTTCTAAGAGGCAATATAATTTTTTTTGTACACCTATAGAAGAAAATTTTGATTTATCACTTGATGGCTGGAAATATTTTTTTAAAGTGAAATTTGCAGGCCCATCTTCCAAGCTAGGAATTTTTTTTGCACTATCCCTGGGAAGATTTTTTTTTTCTGGTCCGTCCCTAAAGCTTAGTTATATCGTTGTTCTAATACATGTTTCTGTAAACTCGAACAATAGTAACTAGGCGTGTGAGTTACCTAAAGTTGTGAATTGTGTACAAACAAGCTAGCTAGCCAAATTTGTCAACAAGCTAGCCAAATTTGTCTATGGTATTGTGATTGACTAGACTTTTAATCCTGTGTGCATACATTAGAAATTTAGAATAGACGAAAATGAAAAATTGTTCTTCTTTAAATAGGTAAGAACTGTTCATAAAGAAGAGGAAACACAACCTGAAGAGCATACAAATTACAACGTTGACAACGTTGAGTTACGAAACACACCTCTCTCCTCTCGTGAAATGTACAGGCTTAGCAAATGCATTGTTGACTGGGACAGCCTTGCTGGTCTTATGGATATAGCCAGGGAAGAGAGGAATAATATTCGAAATAACACTCTCTACCATGATGACCGTGCCCGCGCTGAGAAAATCTTATCGATGTTCAACCACAAGAATGGCTTCACTCGTGAGAAGCTGACTAATTGCTTACAAGGAATCAAAAGGTTGGACTTGATTAGTCCAATTATCACAGGAAAGTGGAGAAAGTTATAATGATTATATAAATTTTGAATTTAGCAAGCTGGTACTCCTTTTGTAAGCCGAGATCATAGGTACGCATCCATGATGCGTTCGGAGTTCGGGAGATAACTGAAACTTTTAGGACAACGCGTCGATGACAGCCAATTAGATACTCAGATAGATAAATAGATATATAGATCAGCTAATTACTATAACACATCGCAGTCAAAGACATTGGTCAAAGACTGAATTGAATTGAGTTAAATATTACAGTATTAGTACTAAATATTGATTATATATTCCTAAAAAATTCAATGAATGTTTAATCAATGTTTGTAAATCGGATAAAGATTTGCCCTGATTTACATAAACTTCAGCTTTGATCAACTATGTTTATTTTTAAAATTACTTCGCCAACGAACTCATAAGATGGGTTATTTTATCTAGTACATATTTCCTTACTTGTAGGTTGATAGCGCGGTCATAGGGTGCTTTCTATTTAATGGCCTGATCGGTCAGACCCGAATTCTTTTCTCTGTATCAATGGAAAGATCTGGTCTATGTTTCTCAAATATCCAGCGAAAATGGACCTCATTCTAATGTTATCTAAAATTTCCGCTCAGATAGGTCCGAAGCCGAAATGTTTTGTGTTTCATTCAACAATTTGACCGTTCTGGCCTTGTTGATGGAAAGCGCCCATAGTTTCAGATTTTAAGCCACCTATATACTTAAGGTGGCTCAACACAGTTTTTTAAAAAATGGAAAAGTCACGATTTAGATGCGTATTTTTGGACAATTATCATTTGTGGGTGGACGGGGGTACCTTACTTAGATAAAACAACATCTAATGAGTTTGAATTTTTGCACAAAAAATACGCAACTGTCGTTGCCATGGCGACAATGACGTTTCAAGATGGCGGATATTTTGGCTTTAAAGTAATTTAACTCGTAAACGACATCGGTGACCCCCAAATTTTATTTAATTAAAAAAATGATTTCTCTTAGTATTTAACAATTATTCGCCGAAGGTGAGATGATTCTAAAATAAATTATTTGGACAATTTAAAAAAATTCTGTGGTGACAAAAATATTATTATGAATAATCACCTTTGCGTAATTTAAAATAGTTTGGCTTCACAGAATTTCTTTTAAATTGTCAAAATAATTGATTATACTAAAAGAAATCATTTTTTAAAATAAAATGTGGGTTAAATTACTTTAAATTACTTTAAAGAGTTAAATTACTTTAAAGCCAAAATATCCACCATCTTGAAACGTCATTGTCGCCATAGCAACGTAACTTTTGTGCCATAATTCAAACTCTTTAGATGTTGTAAGGTACTGTTTGTTCAGGAACAAGTAATAATTGTCCAATAATACGCATCTAAATCGTAAATTTTCCATTTTTTAAAAAACTGTTTTGAGCCACCTTAAGTTTGGCGAACTTCAAAAATTCGTTGTATTTATGCTGATTTTAAGTTTGTAAAATAATCATTAGTTGCAGCCAGAGAACGTTTCTTAAATAAATGTTTTACCGTGGCTGCGCATCATCTACTATCTTTTCAAAGATTGACGTCCTGGTTCCAAGCTTGCGCTTGTTTAATCCCTTAGTCTCTTTTCGACACAGCAAAAATATCCGTGAAACCCTAGTGTATAGAGCTCCCTATCTCAGGGTTCGTCGTCACAGATATAGAATGGCATGTTTCCTTGTCGGGTGCCCAATGTAAAACCTGTGAGCTTAGATACTGCTATACCACCATTTCGGTACCAAAATCTCAATACCATATGAATTAAAACCACCGTACCATTCCAAGCGCACCTCCTCCCATCTCATCTACTGCATTTCATACACTATATGTGGCATACTTTATACTGGGGAACCTGGAAGATTCTTTCAGGACAGGCTTTGCAGGTGAGCATCGTCATGCAGTCATTGGCAATGATCGATATAACCAGCCTGTTGCCAGCATAGATATCTTATATACACAGATACACTAGATAGTGCATCTAATTACTCTGCAATTCAAAAATTGAAGCCGTGATTGCAGACTCAGGATACTCCCATGAAATCAGAAGCTCGTATGTTTTCTGTTTCTTAAACAGGAAACTTAAACATTAAGTTAAACCTATTCCAAATACATTTTCAAAACATTCAAATGATGAAAGTTATTGTTGTTTTTAAGCGTTTATTAGCGAGTGGGAAACTTCAACATGGGGGTAACCGCTGGAATATTCTTGGCTTCAATCTTACTAAATGAGATGCGCTATCTAGTGTATATTTTTTCTAAAGATATCTATGGTTGCCAGACATCTTAATAGTGACAGATAACTCCTAATTATTATCAACATTATAATAATTATTTTTCATATCGTGTGATTATGCTGTGGTCTGGCCAGTCACAAATTGTGTGCGTAAATCAATGACAATAGTTTGAAGATTCTAAATTGGTAAACACTCTACAAGACTGAAGACTCACTTGAATTTATGTCGGGCAACCGTGGAAAATACAAAACTTCGTCTGCAAATTTACATTTAAATGATTGTCTGTTAAATATCGCGGAGTAGATTTGTGTCTTATTAGAGCCGTTTCAATTCATTGACTGCTCGAGATGGTTTAACAAGCATTTACATTTCAACCCACACAGACTCATGATCAATTACTTTTCAAATAAGATTTGAGTAAATGGTTGAACAACATCTGAAATATGTAATTTCTTTCAAAAATCGGTAGGAATTGGCCATTCCGAGCCAATATATATAGCGATAAAATGAAGTTAAATTGAACCTGGGAACAAGGTTGTCACTGAAAAGAGCATGTCAAAATTAGTAGGTACAGAAATTAAAGTAGTTAACGACATTTTAAAGAACATGATTGAACATGTATGAATCGTAATTGCGAGCTTTCAAAATTGTGAAAGTGAATTCGAAATATAATATATAGGACCGGAGTAACCATATTGCTGTAACTTCCAAAATGGCGCTTCAGCGCATCATTAATTGAAAAAGTTCATGCATAAATTATGGAAGCCGTGATGGAAAGAAGGTGAAAGTATATTCACTGAGCGCTGTGCCACCAAAACATCAAAAAGGCAAAGTGAACAAATTTTATAGCGCCGTGTCAATTTTCCGATACTTGATCGACTTTTAGATACTTGAACGACTCCCAGACTCAAGTCATGGGACTTTATAACAAACATACTTGCAGGGAGGTGAGTCCGGGATTGGACGCACCGAGGGTGGCTGGAAGTTTCCCGAACTCACCGAGCGAAGCGAGTTTGCCGAAACTTCCAACCACCCGAGGTGCGTCCAATCCCGGACTCACCTCCCTGCAAGTATATGTTTGGTTTTTATTACATGCCATTTCAGTAAAATACTAAAAAGTATGAAGAATTTTAATTTATACGCATTTTACTTTTAGTATATAATTTCGTGTTTGGATAACGAACATTTTAGCCGCCAACATACTACGCAAACAAACAAACTTAGGCTTAAATTAAAGCTAAAAAAATTCTCTAATGAACACATTTTGCGTAAACAATGCCAAGATTTATATAAACCTGCCCGTGCCAAACAAATTTCGGCGGCCATCTTTTTTTTTCTTCCACTTTGAATACAGAATATTCCATTTTCATCACACAAAATAAAATAATAATAATTATAAAACAATTAAAAACAGTTAATTTACTTTTTTATTTAAATCTTCGTCTGAAATTTGTTCAAATCGCTTCATAATGGCCGCCGCCGAAACGTCAATCTCGAAACCCACCTCCTAAACATACGTCAGCAGGTGGGTTCGAGATTGAACGCACCTCCTCGTAGCCAATAGGAAAGCCGCTAATACGCTAGGTATGAGATAAGGACTGTGGTCGGACTTGTGTCACGCAATTTTTGTGATTTTTCTTGTTAATCAGATTAATGATTTGTCACTTGATTCGGAACAAAATGACTTGTGACTAATTGATTTGCACTTGCATGAAATGACTTGTTACCAACGTAAGTCAAGCGTATAAAGTCGTATATACCTAGTGAAAATTAACTTTTCTATAACTTGCTCTGGAAATTTATCGACGGACATTGACCAGTGCAACCAGATTGGCATATCGCAGTATGACTGTGAGCTAGTATATTTTAATGTATAATTGTCATCAGTGACTTCCCAGTTCATGGTAAATAAAAGAAGTGTACAGAATGACTTGCGACTTGACTTGGTCACAGACAAAACGACTTGAGACTTCACTTGCTTCTCGGAGTAAATGACTTGTGATCCAACATCTTACCATTGGAACAAATATACGTTTTTCTTAGCGAAAGAAGGCTTTCACTAACGTCAGATACTTCAGTTATTATTGAATCGTTTGCCAAATGGTAGCGCCAAACATTATGCAACTGTATACAGCTATTTCAATTAAGGTTGTCCACGAGCAAAGCGGAAAAGTCTAATACGAGCGCGAAAGGCTGCTGGGAATCGCTAGCAAATTAATGAATTTTCATAGCGATTCCCGGCAGCTTTCGCGCTCGTATTCAACTATTCATTAGTTAATTGAAATAGCTGTATGTGGCTTTTTAGACAGAAACCGCTTATTCAGTCACTAGAGACCTTAAGCATGTACGACGGCAACGCGACGACGACAATCAAAACAAACTTCAAATAAATTATTGCGAAGAAGGGTTGTTATGTATTATCCACTGCATATGAATTGAATTCAGTTTGAAGAGATTGAAACAAAGGCTTTATTGTTAAAAAGGCTTCTGCTTGAGCAAATTTGTAGTTTCATTTGTCGCGTCTTGACATGTTTGTGTTGTACACTAGATGTGAAAATCTCTGGTTTGCCGTTGTAAAAAGCACTAACACAACGTCTCTAACTCCCGTGGGGGTATTTAATTATTCATTCCTTGTGTACGAGATCAGGAATATCATTGTGTGAATAGCCGTCGTCGTCGCGTTGCCGTTCTGTTTGCTTAAAGTCCCTACTATCTTTCGTTAGAACGCGTATAGTCATTACAACTCGTTGAGACTTGACAGGGTTGAGTGATAAATACTCAGACAATT